CTTGATAGAGGTATAAGATTTAAATTATCTCTTTAATTTTCCATAGCGATTTCAGAAGAACCACTAATGAAACAACTCTTAGAATAAAATATTGTACTTGATTTTTGACCCACTTTTAGGCAATCATCGAATGACCGAATAACGGATCTTTGATCCGAAACTTTACCTATAAATAGATCTAATGATTTTTAAAACATTGTGAAAGTTTCATTTTGTAGAGTGATTTACTGTACCATATTGTAATATGTGAGCAAATTTTATGTCCGAGTTGTAAGCACTAGAAAATTAAAGATTTGGTGTTCCGACAAACTCATAGTAGTCAATCTCTATCTTACCATCTCTTTTCTACCTAGCTTTGGTGGACTTTCAAATGGTATTGATACCACTAGTAGACATTGTCATTGTTCCATATCACATAATTCGATTCCATCAAAGATCTTGTTTATTGATAGAAAAACATTTTTTTCAAAACAAAAAAAAAACAACTTTGGCAGTTTTTCTCACACCTATCGATTTTGGAACTTATCTTTATTCAAAAATGGAGCAACATAAAGCAAAAAATCTTCTCATCAGTTGACAGTGTTTTGAAAGATTTTTATTCCATGTTTCGTTTATTTTCTACAATCGTTCTACGAATAGTTACTGCAGTGACAAAGAGAGAATAAACGTTTAAAGAAAGAATTTATTTTAGGAAACTATTGTATGCTGGTTTTTTTTTGTTTAAATAGAGGGATGGTTTAGTGTAACACCGGAAAAAATTGCACGACATATTGCGAAACGTTGTCGATGTGATGTTATTATTGATGCTTTTTGTGGTGTTGGAGGAAATACAATACAATTTGCATTTACTTGTCAAAGAGGTAAATATAGTATTCTTTGTTGTTTTATTTTTTAGTTTAAATTGATTTATATTCTTAGTTATTGCCATTGATATTGATCCAAAAAAAATCGAAATGGCAAAACAAAATGCTCGAGTTTATGGAGTTGAAGATCGAATTGAATTTATTCAAGGTTAGTTGTAAAAAACATAGCGATAATATTTTAATTTAAAATCTATTGTTTGAGAAATGATTATAAGATGTAAAAGAAAAAACTTCAGTAATTGTTTTTTTTTCTTCTAGGTGATTTTCTTAAATTGGCTCCAACGTTAACCGCTGATGTTGTTTATTTAAGTCCACCATGGGGTGGTCCATCCTATGGTACAATTGATATATTTGATCTTGAAAAAAATATTGAATTAAATGGTTATCGAGTATTTGAAGTTGCTAAAGCAATAACATCAAATGTTGTCTATTTCTTACCACGAAATGTTAATGTTGAACAAGTTATATCATTAATGGATGATAAATCACCATTAGAACTTGAACAAAATTTTCTCAACAATCGATTAAAAACGATAACAGCATATTTTGGTGATTTAGCTAAACAAAATAATTATTAATCAAGACTCTCGTTTTTCTTTTGGCATACGTTAGATAATTCGTTTCTTTTTTTTCGCTATTTCCGGTGATGTTACTGTTCCTTTGGCTTTTTATTTTTAAACGAAGATAACAAACAAGAGTTTTTATTTCTATTTGTTTTTTTTTTTAAGTTTCAGATTTATATTCAATGTCGTATCAGAAAGTACAAAATTTTAAATGTCGTTGTCCACTTATACGAATTGGTCTGTTCTATGAAAATATAATTATCATATATACGTATTTTATTTTTATTTATATTTATAGGTGTGTTTGGTATTCATGAATCTCATCAAATACCTAATATTCCTTGTGATCGTTCATTAAATGATGTTTTTCTTAATCAACATCTTCAATGGTACCATAATTTTGATAGTGTATCAGCTCGAAAATTAGTTCGTGCTATTTTCAATAATATCAGCCCAAATGAAACTCTATTTAGTATTGATGAACCTATAATTAAACGAAATATTTCTGTTGAAGGTTATAAATGTATGTTCACAGAACAAAAACAAAAACGATTTTCAGATATTTTATAATATAAATTATTTTAGGTAAATGTCCATTGACACATGATGGTGCATTTGGTCTATCAGATGAGCATGATATAACTAATGTTCCTTGTGGTAAAAATTTATTTATTTTTTTTATTTGTTTCTTTTTTTATTGTTCTAAATTTGAAAAATTTCAGGACGAGCCGATAAAGAAGTTCTTTGTTTTCAACATTTACAATATCATCATAATCTTTCTTCACGTGCAGCTAAAAAAATTGTTCTTGCTGTTCTATCTTATACTCCAACAATAACACAATTATTTCATAATGACGATCTTGTTACACAATCGAAATGTGCTGTAAGAAAACTTAAAAGTAAATGCCCATTATTAGCACATCATATGTATGGTAAGTTAAATAATTTTTTACGACACAAAACATATAAGAGCCATTTTCGGAACATCTTCATCTTCTTTCCATTCATGAGGAATTTTTTAGTAACAAATTCAAGATATATCTGAAGTAGGCAGATCTAATCTGACTTAAAATATGGACATTTGGATTTTGTATCATAAACCGATGATCATAAATAAAGTAATGAAACGTGTAAACGATTTCATACCAAAAGAATTCGAGCCTAAACACTATATCAATCGACTACTCATCATATAATCAATCTTTAGTGAACAGTTCACGTGTAATAGTAAAAGTGTTACTGAGTACTAAAAGACAAGGTTTACATAAATCACTTTTCAATGTATGGATTAGATTCCTTGAAAAACAGATCCATATTGTTATCAAACAATTTCTTGTAAAATTCTGCGTCAAGCAAGTAGTGAATGGTGGGAACATGTAAAAAAAATTCAAAAGAGGCTCTTATGTGATCCTATCTTTTATTTTTCTTTTCTTATTTATTGAATTTATTTCAAGGTTTGGGTGATCAACATCATGTTCCAAATATTCCATGTGATCGTGCTGATCAAGATATATTTTTATTTCATCATTTAACTTACTTTCATAAACTAAATGCTAAAGCAGCAACAAAAATAATTCGAGCATTACTTTTACGTAAAGATCCATCAGAACCATTATTTCATTATAATGATATTATTATTGAATCTAAACCAACATTACATAATCAACAAGTACGACGAACTAAAAAAACAACAAATAATCAACAAACATTAGGTCAGTTTAATTATTCAAATCAATTTGATTCAAAGTCATTTGAGAATTTTTCATCAAATTTTGTTGGAAATGTACGATCCAAAGTAAATCATAATCAATATATCTCATATTTACATCTCACAATCAATTTTTTCTTTTGTAGTATCCATGTTTTTTTAATCCTTTAAATACAACGGCTTTGTCAGCTTTAATTCATAAAAACTCAAATGGAAGTAAGAATTGATTTGTTCTTATCTTTAAAAAAATAATATATTATTTTTTTTCCTATAGAATTTGAAAACAATACAATGCCACTCGATTGTACTTTAAATAAACAACAACCGTATCAAGTAAGTTTTAAAAGTTATCTTTTCCAAAATTGAATAGATAATGCTTGATATGTAAAATCACAACACGGCTATACTGGTTATAGCGCCAGTAGAGTCTCAAATTTTTCGAAATCACACCCAAAAGTATCTCGTTAACGATAATAATAACGTGATTTATAAAAAAACAAGTAACAAATTTTTCAGTTCTTAGAAGAACGATTTTAACAATTTATTCAGCATGAGGGCTGTCCCCCCATCTCCCCCGATGATTGGGTTGATTTTCCAGAATTTTGTGTTTGGTTGAAAATTTTTCTTTGTCACAGCGTGATGTATGAAAGAAGCTCGTCCGACACACCTATCACGTGACACTATTTATCACTTTTAAAGTCTTCTAACTAAAGTTGAATTAAGGGAAAATTTGATAAAAATTTCTTAGGATACGGAAAGGAACGGATACACTCTCGAAACATTTGCTACACAATCATTATTGAGATCTACATGATGAAGAAAAAGTTTGATATCAAAAATACGAAACTTGTCATATTTTAAAGCAAAACATCATATGTTTCGCGTTATACCCTCAAGAATTTGTATTGGACTTGAATAGTTTCAAGAGTGTATCCACGCAAAGAACTGTTTTGGATTTCGCAGTCCCTATCGAAATTATAAGGTTCAGTATGGAAACAATCGATATTTGGAGAGTAGAAATTGCACAGGATCACTGAAAATCTTACTCTTCACATCTCTACTTCCAATATATACTCAAAAAAGTCTCGAAATTCTCCCAAATATGACGAAATAGCCTCTGCTTAAGTGATTCTCCTATTTCAAACAGTATTTCTACGTAAAAGTTTCAATCATATGAATGCAATTTCACAATAAATTATCCAAAATGATTTGAGATTTCAATTAGAAATACTGGTAGGTATTCTTTTGATATTGTTCGTAATCATTCTATACAAATCTCAGTAAATTTGTACATAGTTCCATTTTTGTGATATTCTTAATCGTGAAACATTTGCAACTCATTTTCTTCTTATTCATAATAATATTTTATTTTCTGCTTAGATGTCTTATACATATTCAACAAATGATATGACACATGGTCATGATTTACATTCATTTTTAACCTAATCGATGCAATCTTAATTATAAATTCTGTATATTGTTTTCTTTTTGTACACTATTTTTTTTTTCTCTCAGTATAATATTGTAATGTCAGAAAATAATGCATTATAAGAATAGAACGCTGTTTTTTTTGTAATCTGTGTTAGGCTGATGATTATAATCGTGAAAAAAAAATTAAAACAAAAGATCATTTTTTTTTATTATAGTCAAATTCATCAACATGAAAGAAACAGACAAACACAAAAAAAAAAATACGTGGAATTTTTAATTGATTATCGTCAAAATGAAATAGAAGACAAAAAATACTCTAGAGCGAAAAAAAAAAATCCATCCGAAATCCAACATTATTTGAATTTTAACAAAATACGAAAGAAAATTATTTACAAAGTTAGATTTGTCATTATAATATCAAATATATATTTAAATTTATAAAGTTGGATCGCTATTTGATAAATCAAGATCAGCCCATAATTTAAAATCACCAAGCATTTGTAATTGATTAAAAAAAGCTTCTTGTGTTTGAGGATCAGCTGATGCAAGTGCATCAAGTAAAAGTGGATCAATTTGTTGTGATGATGATGATGATGATGATGATGTACCTGTTGCTATTTGTGATGATGTAAAAAATGATGGATCATCAAAATTTGCATTTGTTGAAAATAAACCTAATTTTGGATCAATCAATGAAGCAAGTGTATTTGTAAGTAATGCTGATGATGAATTTTCATCAAAATCATTTTCAATTGATGTTGAAAGATTTTCATCTAAACGATTAATACCAGGTAAAATTGTTGTTTTCGATGTACAATCATCGGATGATGTATCTGTTGTATCCATTGATGATGATGTATGTGGATTAGTTGAATTTCTTGGTGGTGTTGAACCTTTTTTAGCACGTTTACGTGGTTTATATTTATAATCGGGATATTCACGTAAATGTAACATTTTTAATCTTTCAGCTTCATCAATAAATGGACGGCGTTCAATTTCAGATAAACGTTTCCATCTTGCACCTAAATATTTTGATATTTCAGCATTATGCATATCAGGTGCTAATTGTACAATTTTACGACGTTCCAATTGTGAAAAAACCATAAATGCATTCATTGGTCGTTTAATACGATTAATACGTTTTTTTGATCGTGTACGTGTTGCATCTGAATATGGTGTTTGAGTTTCAGGTTCAATTAATGATGAACCAAAACATGATGGTGGTTGTGTACTTGGTGATGTTAAAAGTTCAACTAACACTTTTGTTTTAGCAAAAAATGCATCATTTTGTATTGTTGGTGTTGTTGCAGATGATGATTGTATGGATGTTGGTAAAACAGATGTTGAACGTACATTTGTTATACGTGGTGAAGGAGTATTTTCATTTTCTTTATTTGATGACGAAACTAGAAATGAATGAGTATGACATTTTTTTTTTGATGTTTCTTCAGCAAGTGTTCCATAATAACATGAAAACTAATATTTTTCACTACGAAAACTGTTACATCTTCCGGTATAATATTACATCGAAAGGTGGAACACTTGCTTAAGAAATACGATTTTGTTTGTTTTTTCTATCATGAAAATAGAAATACTTACTATGATTATTAATAGATGGTACAATTGTTGTTTGCGGTTGTTGAATAACATTTGTTGTTGATAGAATAGGTGTTTCAAGAAGTTTAGCAATACTATTCTGTGTTGTTGTTGTTGAATTATTTGTTGATTGTAATAATGCCATTTGATTTAATGTATTTAAACTATTAACAAGTGTTGCTAAATTAATACCATTTTGTCCATTTATAATTGTTGTTGATGTTGGAGTAGTTATATTTGTATTATGATGATTATTATTTGAAAATAAAAGACGATTAACAGTTATTGTTCGTGGTTGTTGAGGTTCAGTTTTAGTATTATTCATTATAAAAACAGCTGGTTGTTGATCGGTTGAATCATTTGATGATGATGTTATTGGTGGTGTTGTTGTTATAGTACGCATTTTTTGTAAAGCTGCATCACCAATACGCATTGGATTCAAGGCATTTTTATTTAATGATGAAGAATTTTTAACAGCAGGTATTATAATAGCACCTGATGATGTATTTGCAATTGATGATGTTGTTAAAATTCTTGAAGATGATAAATCCATGTTTATTTGTAAGAAAATATGTCAAAAAAAAATTTTATTGTTCACTCTAGATAAAGCTTTTCTTTCATAAATATGTATATATCGAATTGTGGACGCCAGCGGTCATTGTGTTCAATAATGACGGACGAGCTTTGTGTTTAAATGAACCAACGGGAATGAAGAATTTCGTTTTTTTTTCTTCGTCTTTTCTCATTCATATTATTCCCGAAAATTTTTCTTTTTCGACGTGTTATCCGTGCGTTCGTCCGAATGTGACGACATGCGAAACAACGAACAGCAATCTGTTTGTGAAAGGAAAAAAAAAAGAGAGAGAAAGAGAAAATATTGACTTTGAAATATATAAGCAAAGAAGAATAGGATTGAATTTATCTATATTTTGACCTCATTGAATTTTGTTTAAGAAAAAAAAAAAAAAAAAACAAACGATGGAAAGATAATATGATAGAGAGAAACAAATAAAAAGAAAAAAACAAATTAATCTTTTTTTCAATGTTCAGATTCAAGAAATTGTAATTTTCCATCTTGAAGACGAATGCAAACAGTTGAATCTGTAAAGCCAACAGCATTAATTGGTATACCACTGTCAACTTTAACCCATGTAGCTGATGCTTCATATTGACCAACGGATACATTAGTATTGTCAACAATCCAGAAAACATCTGCACCAGTATTACTTATCAACCAAGCTCGACCATCTTCATATGAAGCTAAACGTGCATAACGACCTTGTTGAATCGGTACATGACGAAATAAACGTTCATGCATATTATTTGCTTGAAGTGTAACATGTCGTTCTTCGAGAAGTATGCCTGGTCCACTACCAAACCAAATCAAACCTATTAGAATAGCAAAAAATTTAGAAAAAAAAAGGGGAAACTGTACATTTTTGTTTTAGTTTTGCTATACCTAATACATCTTCTTCCCTACCATCGGATCGTATTATTTTTCTAACGGATATATCAGCTAATTTTCGATAACGTGTTTCAGGTGGTGCAAGTGCATGAAGACGTTTCATTTGCATTGAATTTGATAATTCAAGTAACATAAGACTATATCGAAATAAACAAAATATACTTGTACTCGCTACTGCAATACGTCGAAAACCAATTTCACCATTGGAAAATTCATATGCATCATAATATTCATTTTCATCAGCTTTCCATCGATATAAACCTTGTTCACTTAATATTAACCATTGAGTATTTAATGGCCACCAATATAAATCAACAACTAAACCATGATGAAATTTTATTGAATATCCTTCACTATCTGCCATACAAATCATTTCTCGTTCATAATCATAATAGATAATTTCTTTACCATTCGAAGCTAATGCTTCACCTAATCCACGATTATTAACTGTACTACCATCACGAGATGTAGCAGGTAAACTAACAGATCGATCTGTATAATTACTACTTGTGATTGAACGACGATCATTAGATTTTTTAGTTGTAAGTTCTTCTGTTTGTTCTTGTAAACATAATGTACATGGTCCGACAGTTGTTTGATCTGAACTACGTGATGTTTCTTCATCATCATCATCGTAAATAATATTATTATTATTTTGATTATTATTTCGTTGTTCATTTGTATGATTACTAACTTCTTCATCGTCAAATGGTGGTAGTGTATGAGGTAATTGTCTTGATCGATGATGATGATGATGATGAAGATGAATTTTATGTTGATGAATTTCTTTTGAATGATTTGGATCTTCATTTTGAATACCTCGTACTAATGTTTGAAGTTTTGTCATTTGATCATGAATTTGTTCATCTCGTTCATGTCTTATACCTAAATAGATTATATTCTTATAAAATCTATATGATCTAATAAGATAAATGAATAAATAAACCTCCTGATCGTATAGGTGAATGAACACTTGCTGTAATTTCTCCATTGCCTGGACGTTTATTAATAACATACAAAACAGTTTCTTCTTTTTCAAGAATAAGCTTAGTTAAATCAGCAACCATATGATCAAGGCTATTCAATCGACCATGAACAGTAGATAGATCAATTTCAACTGTTGGTGGTGGCAATGGTTCAACAGGTGGTGGTGGATCTGGAATATTGACAAGAGCCATTTGTTGAACAATTTGTGTAGCTAATTTATTTAAATGAAGAACTTTACTCCTAACAAAAAACAATTATAATTGAAATAAACTTATCAATTATATGAATTTTTTACTAACGCAATAGTTGTATCAATACATCCACATTCATTTCGAACTGCTTCAACTGCTCTTGAAACTTGATCAAGTTGTTCAAGTAATCGAGCTTTCTTCATATTACATGCTTCTAATGTTTGACCAATTTGTTCAATAGTTTCAGTCATATCATTTGTCATTATTGCATGTAATCGATCACGTGCTTCAATCAATGTCATATTTGATGTTGTTGCAATAATATGAGAATCTGTACTATCCATATGAAAACGTATGCGTCTTAGTTTGTGAATATTTTTTTCATCAATAAACGTTTCTAGTTTTGCGAAGTGCAAAAATAATCATATGTACGTGCAGTTATGTAGCAAAGATATTTTCTTTTTCAAATTCATTATTCTTATAACCAAAAAAATGCTATCCTAATACATATTTCATCGTCTTGTTCTTTATCTTTAGATGTATATAACAAAAAATGTGCAAAAAAAAATAAAATTCTATGTATGAATAAATGACTTTGATAATACCAAATAGCAAAGATGAAATTTGATTATTCACTTTTATATGATGATAGATTGATAATCATTATGTTTTTCTTTTTATTTATACAAACTATTCTTTTTCCCATAGCATAGAACCATTATGAGGAGATATATTTTTTTTAAAAGGAAAAAGACCGAAATATGTGTCACATTCAAAAATAAACACTAAGACTATGAAAAAAAAAGAAAAGATGGGATCATAAAGTTCACATGAAAGTAAAATCGCTGCAAAAGGAGATATGTTTGATATAACATTGTATAATCCTAGTTTGTTTTTTAGGCACCTTGTTTTCGTGTTGGTTCATTAAGAACACGATCAAGATATTTTTTAACTTCAGGCCAGATCTTATCACTTTCACGTCCATGAAATTCTTGAAGAATATGTTGTTTCCTATAGAAACAAGAAAAAAAACAGAATAAATTCATACAAAAAAATGTCTTTTTTTTTTAAATTTACTTGTAGAAAGCCATGATGGGATTTGTATTTTTATCGTATGTATCCAATCGACTACGAATAACTTCAGGTTTATCATCTTCACGTTGTGATAATGATTCACCTGTTGTATCATCTTTGCCCTAAGTAAAAAGAACGGAATAGAAAAATTAATTTTATTTACTTAGACTTACAGCAACTTTAGGTGGATTCCATAAAAGATTGTAAACACGTCCACTAGGCGCATGAACCCATCTATCTTTTAAACGATTAACTATTTCATCAGCTGGCACATTTAATGCAACAACATGATCAACAGTCATTTCTTTATGTAATAATTGTGCTTGATTTAATGTTCGTGGATAACCTATATAACGTAAGTCAAACAACATAAATTATTATTCTTTTTATTGATTTAATTAACTTTACCATCAAGTAAAAATCCTTTATCGCGAATTTTTTTCAATTCACCAACAACAAATTTCAATACGAGATCATCTGGTAAAAGAAGACCTTTATCAATATGTTCTTTGATCGTTTTACTTTCCTCTTTAAATAAAAAACAAAAAAAAAAAAGTAATTATATAAGATAGTTTACAAAAAATCAAGAACTTACCAGATTTTCGCTGAATATGTTGACGAAGTAAATCTCCAACAACAACATGAGGCATACCATATGTTTTTACAATTCGACTAGCAATTGTACCTTTACCAGAACCAGGTGCACCCAAAATAATTAAACGACGTGCAATATGTGTAGCCATTTTAATCTAACTGAAAAATATGTTCAATATAAAATTCAGTAGGTCACAACACAAATAAATAATAGAGAAAAAACATAAGGAAATTCGATCATGGCCACTCCCATTGATGAATCATTTTTTGATCAATCCGATTAAATCAGAAGACGATAAAATATTTGTAATAAAATTTAAAAAATTCAATTAAATTTCAAAATAGATTTAGTTTATGTTGTTTTGTTTATTCGGAAGTGCCCGATAATCTTCATAGAGGTCCATCTATAGTATCATTATTAAAAATGGCGATTATGATCTATAATAATAAAAAAAGAAGAAACATTTTCAATAAAGTTACTAAACGTCCTGATTTATCTAGGAGAATCTTGATTTTTGAGTCTTTCCCATAGTGAAGAAATCTGCTGCCTTCTGTTGTTTTTTCTTCACTTCGACCATTAGCGACATGTATAACCTACGTGAAAAACCATCTACATCACAATGTGATATTAGAGTTCATAAAGAACAGAAGAAACATCTGTTGCGACCAATTGTTGACCTATCTCCTTAATAGTGAAAATGTACTTCATTTACAAAAACTAGTTCAATTTGCTGTTTCTATGCTGGCTCCCCATAGTTTTTTTTTGATGAGTCTATTTATATAGTCATATGAAATTTTGTGAGATAATAGTCGAAACCAAATGAAAAATAATCTTACGTGCACTGAATTAAAAATTAAGATCAAACTTTATTTCAATTATAGAGTAAAGCGCATCGAGTTCGCGATGAATCCGATGGCTCTATTGTATAGAATGTTTTGAATAACTCTGACATAAACTAGACTTATTGAAACAAGTTTGGTCGTCATAAAAATACTCTAATGTTAGAACGGCACAGCAAGTATTGTATTATTTACATATGGTTATTTTTTTTTTGTATATTTTCATGAACGAATATGAAAAGATTAATAATATAAAATACATTTGATCATATTTCTTTTTTTAAAAATTACTTGTCAGTAAGTTTTACTATTATTGTTTTATTATAAGAAAAAAATAAGCGCTCTGTTGAACGGAAATGTCAGCTTTCTTCTAGAAAACATCGCTTAAATGCTTTCTGGTTT